GGTAGATCCAGAGCGCGCCGGCGGCCGCGGGGAGGCCGCCCGGCCCGGCGGCGGCGGCCGAGGGAGCCGGCGGGAGCGGGGGGCAGGCGGCAGCCCGGGCCGCGCGGCTTCCTGCGTACTCTTCCTCGCTGCCTTTCCGTATCACGGGCGGGATGGGCCGAGGCCTCTCCCGTTGCTTGCATTGCACGCAGAGCATCGGGTGCYGTCGCGCTCGAGCGTCCGTGCCCGTGTCCCGGCGCCTTTCCCCCTTCCTGCCGCCCTCTGCAGCGGTCTGTGCTGTGCGTCATCCCTCCGAAGGGTCTTCTGTCCCCGTGGGAAATGCTACACGTCAGTAGGAAGACTTTGCAGGGAGAACTGCAAGAGGGGGAAATGAGAACAGATATATTTAGTGTTAAAGCTGGTTAACTTTGTCCCAGAAGCACCCTAGTTCCATGAGACACCAGGCATACGTAGTTTTCATTCAGCTTTTTTTTTTCTGGAGATGTCGTAAAGAGCCACATCCAGCTGCAGTTGCTTTTCGCAGAGAGGAACTTCCTGCCGCTCCTACCCWGCTCCCGGGTGCTGCTCCATAGCTGCCCTTGGTAACTGCTGGCCAGGGCCTGACAAGCGGAGACACGTAGTGCATGGCAAAGTGAAACGTGCAAGAAGGCAGCCCTCGGGTTACCAAACATCGCACCATAGACATCACTGGTGTTTCAGTTAAACATGTGCGTTCCCACAGGGTGTGCATCTTGTGCTGATGAATGCTGGAGTGAAAGTGGAACACTCCTTTCTCTAAGGACTAGTAAATGATGGCAGGAAAGCAGGAAATTCGAGCGTGAGCTCCACCAGCAGTGTTCTCTGGAAGGCTGCCCTGCTTGCTCTGGGGAAGAGGGTACTGAGCGTTGCTTGTGTTTCTGCGAGTCATTTATAGGATGAGCACTGGCGGGAGGCAGGTTGTGCTAACAGGAGTGCGAGCTGGGGCTGAACATCCTAGGCTGCTCCGCACCCCAGGCTACACATTCCCAGCAACCTGAGGAAGGCAGTGGGAACACACAGCCAGCGAATGGGTGCGCAGCTGCCTGAGGACAGCGTTGACCCGACACGTGCCGAGGGTGAAACTGCCAGCGCTGGTTGCTCATCCTGGAAGGCTGCTTGCCCAGGGGCTGCGTAGAAGGCACCGACGTMCCCGAGTGAGCGTCCCTGTCGTCCCAGCGCAGCCCTCAAAGTGTAGAACTGAGGTGGCAGTTACAGACTAAAGCAAGCACAATAGCTTCTTTGTTATGCTGCTAATAAAAAAATTATAAATGTGAGGTGAAAGCTGGCAATTAGTTTTTGCCTTTCTTTTTAAGTCGGAGAACTTCATTTTCTGCTGAAAAAAGAAATGCAGGGATCCATTATGAAAAATGGAGTTGAGACATCATCTAACCCATAAATTGTTTTCCTATGGTAAATATTTTTTTGAAGTCCAGATGCTCACTCTTAGAAAGTTAAGTTGGGGGTATGATATTTGATACTATTTTGGACAGTGAAGCTTGACCAAAAGAACTAATGTTTTTACTGGATAAATATTTTTGTACTGAACCATGTTTGCTTACATGCTGGTGGGGGGGAGCTGAGCTCTCCAGATCTTTCTGACATTATAAACAAATGAAAGAATATTTTGTTATAACTTGGAACCCATTAGTTATTCTCAGTGTTCAAGATTAATTTCTTTGTTTGAAAGCTATTCTAATTTTGTTGTTGGGTTAGAGGCATCTATTGCCAGATGATCACAATGAGGACAAAAATTATTAACAATACCACTTTATGTATGATATAGAGCTTCAAAAAGGAGTAATTACTGTATATATATTTTATATATTTATATATTTATATATTTCATGACACTTTTTAAAGTGAGGATGCTCAGTGGAGAGGATCACTTTACTAAGCATGTTGCAATCTGTATTAAAACTTTCTTAGCCAGTTCTAGTCACCTTGTTTTGGTTCTTGCTTTTGATTGTAGGTTTCTTAATCTTTGTAAAAGTAAACACTTTGATTAGTAAGTGATACTTGTAATGTGCTAGACCGGTTTGACCCCTGGAAAGTCTTTATGCTGATTTAAAACTATAAGCATGTGCCAAGAAGGCTTAAGAATACTTGCATACAATTTTAGTGTGGCTCAAATGCTGAAATTCTGTGAGAGAAGAAAGTGGTGGTGATGCTTTTCAAAGGACTTCACATTTCTGCTAAGCTATTATAAATGCCCCATTTTAATTTGAAGAGTTTTGTTCTCAGTCACTATCAGAAAATTGCTTATTTAATCAAGCTTCCAGTATTGTGATGTAAATAGCCAAGGACCATACGAACAGCAGTGCTGGGACTGAGCTGACATTGTTTCCTCCGTTTCAGTGCAGTAGTGACTCTCATGCTGTAGCAATAACTTTCACACGGAAGTTATTACTTCAGTAATTGGAGAAGGAGGATATTCTGTTTAAGGGACTGGAAATTTGCGGTGGCAGCTAATACTGCATGAAATGTATGCATTTAAAGCACTGCACTGGGCTATATGACAAAACAGGAGAATTACAGAGCTCACTACACTGCAAGAAATAAATGTGCAAACCTAACTCATTTTTTAACTGTTTCTTACAGAAGGGGTCCTCACCCGTTGCTCCAGTTCATATTGTCAGTGAAGAGTCCCCTGACAAGACGAATTTGGGCTTCATTCACGCGTTTGTGGCTGCGATATCGGTCATCATTGTATCAGAGCTGGGGGATAAGACCTTCTTTATTGCAGCCATCATGGCAATGCGATACAACCGCTTGACTGTACTGGCTGGTGCTATGCTTGCCTTGGGACTCATGACATGCTTATCAGGTCAGCACTCATTTTTCATTACATATGCTTTTTAAATCGGTGTGTATTACTACAAAGTTAGGGGAAGGTAGTAGTAGAATATGCAGTTTCCTGTTTCAAGGAGAGMGTGAAGGGCAGAGGGCTCTAGGGACAGATCCAGCGTTCATGCTTTTAATTCTAATAGGTGTTTACACTCGCTAGACTTCAGTAGGAGTTTAAGGGAAAGCAGTTGGAAGCACAGAGGTGTTAACTCCATGGATTTTGGACTACTAGATCCTTTTTTTTTTCCTTTTTTTTCTTCTTTTTTTTTTTTCTGTTGGTTGTCCCTATTAAGATGCCTAAGGAGAACACAGGGGTGATTTCTTTTTTTTTCTAAGATGAAGGAGTCTTGCTGAGATGACATATATCCCTTGACTGACTTGCATCTAAGTATGTGGCGTCTTTAACATGCACAAAGGCATTCTGGCTTTCTATTGGAGAATGTATAAGTGAAAAATTGCATTCTGTTATGATCCTTTGGGATACAGAGTCTTGACAGAGGCAGAAACTTGGAGGGAGGTGTCAAATAGCCCTTGGGAAATCGGCAGCTTTGAGTGCTTATGCAGCCTTAATTGTAGAATGGAGCAACCTTCAGGTATATACATTGGATGCAGCATAAATTTTATGGTATACGTGCTCATTTTTTTTTTACCATGACTTTTCAAGAAATATTTGCAGTAGTGTTTAGTGGCTTGTATGCACTGGAAACGGCAGAYTAACTGGCTTCCAGCTTCGTGGTGTTTCCCCGGATGTTCTCTGGGTGTGTTGCAGTAATGGCAGTTGTAGAACAGGTTCCCGTTTGTGCTGGATTTAATGCAGGCCTTGTATGAGTTTCTTATGTCACTCAATGTAACATTTGTTGGATCTTGCTTCACTTCTGTGCTGCTTGCTTCAGTTAACTTTCTTTAGTATCATAGGCAATATTGTGTTCTACGTATCTTGCTTTCTTTTGTTCCCCTTCTGCCTATTGCACCTTGCTCTCTTCTTAATAGGATTCATAGGATTTCTTCTTTCAAATCTTTCTTTCTTARWAWWYTTTTMWKAAAARWWTWYTAATTTAACTCATAGTTTAGAGGCTCCCAGCTATTTTTCCTATTCCAAAGAGCCTTTCTTTTCTCCCCGCTGCCCTCATTTCATACAAGATATCTGTGGAACTGTGACTGTTTTTCTTTTTTCTTTTTTTTTTTTTT